GATGAACGGGTTTAAGAGTTTTAAGAGTTTAAGAGTTTTTAAGAGTTTTAGTCAAATGCATTATAATATAGTATAGATGGGAATAAATAATAAACTAGCTTATAATCATTCATATATTTATTTAAAAAATAAACTAGTTTATTTTTATATTTAATTACGCTACATTTTAATCACTATTATTCGTTTACCCTTTTCCAATGTTTTGGTTTAAAAAAGCGTGCATGGCTCCCCGTTTCCATCACCGTTTTCTATTCCCGTGCTTCCCCTCAAGAAACAATCCCCTTCTTTTTAAACATCTGTCCCTTCGATTTCCACATTTATATGTGCATTAAAATACTGTAACTAATACTTTCATGCAAAAAGAATTTTCACATTTTATCCCTTAAGTATTGGGTAATAAGCACATTAGCTTAATTTTAAAAAAAATTCATTAAGACGATTAAAATATAAAGTTTATTAATTTTACAAATTTTATTTTGTACTACTTTTTTATTATTAATATTTAACAAATTACATAAATTAACCAAAATATAGAAAACGTAATCATAAATAAAAGTTTAAATAGTAATAAAATACAATAAATAAAATCTGAATAATGTATAATATGTAAAGAGAGAGATGTGTTTAATGTTTTAGAAGATAATTAAAGCTTATTTTAAAGATATATTGGTAAAATATAAGTTCCTTTTACTTCTACTGGTGAGATAAGCATGCATGTTTGTTCCACTCTTCTTCATGTTTATTAAAAAAAATTAACCCAAAATAATTTATGTCATGTTCTTTATTAATCAGTATGCCAAACACCCTTATAGCTTATAAGGTTTTGTATAGAGTAGGGACCATATTTGTAAAATAGTCCACAATATAAATTCCTAAATCCCCAACCATGCAGTATCACAAGAACATTTGATAGGTAGCTCGCCTGAATACCCTCTCACACATTTGACTCCCTTATGTCGAATTCAGGTACCCTAAATTCCAGTTGCGTGATCTCTCTGTGTATTTGGTTGAGAATCTATTCTGTTTAGATCTATCCATGACCATATATATGCTGATGATATTTAAAACATGCATCCGATCTAGTTCAGCTTGGTTGCATGTCATTCCCTACAGATAGTATCCACAACTAAGTTATCTCTTCCTTTGGCAACTTGAACTTAAATGCTAATTAACTTCTACCTGTCTCTTTTGATCATTATGACTGAATTGTTAAACTTTTGAAGGGGAAAAGAAGGTGAAATTGGGTGATTCTAATTGGCTATCAAGGTCATCGACGTGGGATGAAGTGATGTCTGAAGTTTTGCAAATTCTAATTTCTTATGAAGATGATGTTATCTGTTCGATCCAATTCGTATACTATACGTTGCAGATGGGATCGTTCATCATTCAAAAGTCCATGGAAAAACGAATGGTGTGAACGTTGATTTGGTATGTATTACCATCTCCATTACAGGTGTTGTTTCTTTTGGTCGTTTGAACTTTTTTTTTTCCACATCCAATATCGAGCAATATAGGTAGGTATAAGAATCAGATATAAATTTTCATATTCATTCTTTGATTAATTAATTATAAATGGTTGTTTGGGATTGCTTATTTTAAACAACTTATGTTTTTTATGAAAGTATTTTATCAATTTATTATTAGTCAGTAATGTTAAACGTCTTTAAAAACTTCTTATTATCGGTTTTGCACCGCTATAGGTTGATTATTTACATCTATAAAGTACTTATTACCAGTGTCGTACCGGAGTAAGTTAATAAGTTGTTTAATCCTTGTAATTGTTTTTAAACTATTATTGCAACCCTAGAACAAGAAGTCAACCAAAATATGCATTATTATTCCTCCATCACAACTCAATTCTTAATTGGCTAGTGTTTTGTTGTATAATGCTAAAATATAGTGTGTTTACTGATCGCAACAAATACAGGTGACGCTTGATTACCCATCAGAATTTTTAACTAGGGTAAGTGGTGATTATGGCTCCAGATCAGGTAGATTGGCTTCGATTGTATTTGGCACCAACATAGGCGTATATGGACCCTTTGGAAGGGTGAAGGGTAGTATATCTGATAGATTCAACTATAAATTCGGACCGAGGTCTTTTGCAGGATTTCATGGATCAAATGACGACGAAGGTATAGGTTCGATCGGAATTTATGTGAAGCTCATTGGGTCCCTTCTTTTTCATTTGGTTGGATTTTGTTCTGTCTTGTCCTAGTCGTACCAAACATGGGACAGACAATTAGTCATGTCCCGTCTCGTCTCGTCCAGTTCACTCCAGTCGTCGTACCAAACACTACCTAAGTTTTAAAAAACCATATGGACACGAAATATATTAACTCTTGCTCTAAATGATTTACCCGTTCTCTTTTAAAGGATTTAGGATGGAATGTTACAAGAATATTACCTAAACTATAGAAAACCTGAATTGTTTACGAACATGGAACATTATAATTGCTTTGACATACTTGAATTTTGATTTATCATTTAATTTCACTATTAGAATTATGTTTGGTTTATAATTGCTACGATGTTCTCTTGTACCTTGAACTAGTATTCGGACCTTAATGTTTTTTCAATTGATAGAATTCTTAGATAAAATACGGACTCAACTATTTTGTACGTAATGACGTATTACTATTTTATACGGTTTCAAATGAAAGAAAAAGTCAAACTAATAAAACGATTGTGGTTTTATCTTCTCTCTCTTTTGTTGAAGTGAATAAATGTTGACCTTTAATCCAATACATGTGTATTGGATCGATGTGGGATGAAGGTGGGAAGTTTGTAATTGTGCAAATTCTGATGTCGTATAATGAACATGGGATCAAATCGTTACAGTTTGTATATGTTGAAAAGGGTGAGTTGCATCATTTAGAAATTCATGTAGAAGCCGGTAATTTGAAGTTTAATGTCGCAAGTATTTTCTTATTATTGGTTTTTATAAAAAAAACGGATCCTAAATTTGTTAAATACATATGAAAACATACCAAAAATGAAAAAGAATGTGCATACTAGTTGTGGGAAAATTAACATACACTCGACATTTATGCTGTGTGAGTTAGAGTAGTCTGTTTAATAATTTTTATTATTAATCAATTGTCTAAAATTACTGGATTTTTTGATTGCACAAATAATAAGGATACTTTTGTATCATATGTAATCGGAGTTTCAAGCTATACATCATGTGAAGATAAGAAGGGACTATCAAGGGAAGATTCATTTGTAGATCATTGAAAAATACATTTGAAAAAATATGTGTGAGATCATATAAATAATTGTAACATCCATTAACATAAACATTCACATATGAATATTTCTTTAATACTTTCTTCTTATTTTCTCATAATGTTTAATGTGAACCGCCCCTACATGTGTATATATGGGTTGTTTTCATATTAATTTGAATTTGGTAATACATATATGATATCTTTTTAAACATCCTCCTAAAAAACCTTAAAATATTCAAATTTCATGCTTATAAAAATCTAAATACCATATGGTAATTATATGTTCTTTGAGATGGTGTTGTACAACAGTGGATTTGGCTTCGATCTTATAACCACTATGTTTTCGGGTCCCCTTAATGTATTTACTACTACCTACAGACTGGCTATACTGAGACGGTATTTCTACTTGGTCGCCACACCTTTCTGGGAGACAAGTTTTTCATTCCCGCCATATTCTGAGAGTTTGATCCCAAATCGATATCCAGATTTGATGCATCAAGAGAGAGTTTTTCACTAATAAAACCATCTAAATTGAACCCGCTTCTACTTGCTATCTTGTTTTCACCAACACCATCTGAATTGCTGCCATTTGATCCATCTTCACTTTTTGAAGAACCTTGTGGCTTGTTATATGAATTCTGCTTGATGTTCAGTAGTTTCTTTATACTATCAATGGCTGGATCTATTATGATGTCTAACACCCCCGTCACCCATGAAGCATCATCAATCACTTCTGTTCTCTGTTGCAAGCAATAAAAAGGGATTTAGGAACCATAAATGTTTTGAAAATTGACCGAACCAATTATTCATGATGAATATACCTAATCGTTCATGAATATCTATCACCATATTAATCATGAATAGTTGGTTCTCATGGTTCTCAAATGAACCTGCCCCTACTGGCTACGTACATATTGAGGTGTGCCTTTTATCAGTATATTTGACATGTGATAAGAACCAGACATAGATATATACTAAAAAGCTTCTTAAGATATATCGATTTCTAAAAGATACCTGTTGAAAATAGAGGTTTCGGATTTCTTCAGCACGTATAGAGTTTCCTTGATCCTCCTCGAGAGATGCCCATGTCATCCATGTTACGTAGCTTTGAGAGTTTATGTTCAGTGATGATCTGAATAGCCTTCTAGCAGCTGATAAGTTACCAATTCGCTGTTCCAGGACACCCCAAGCCTGGATACCATGAAAATGTTTCATCCAAGGTTTGCAGAGTTTGCTTCAATTTGCGGTTTGAAAGTTTTCAAGAAGGCAAAAACATGAAAGAAGTGAAACCAAACCTGAAGGCAGCGAGCAGCACTTTCACTTGTTGAATTGATCGATAATGCTCTTTGGTAGAGTTCCCTAGCTGTTTTTATGTTCCCTTCTTTCCACTCCATCCAACCCCAAGCCTAATTTCAGGAATAACAAACCACTTTGCTCATATAATTATAAAACCAAAAATCTGGACATGTTTCTTTTAGGAAAGGAAAATGTATGCTTACAATCCAGACTGGTTGGTGCCTGGGGTCTAATTCTGCTGCTCTTCTGAACAAAGCCCGAGCTAGATTCGCAGCTGAATAATGCTTGTATTCTAACAAGCCAAGTGATTGAAGTAGAACAGGATCTCTTGGATTTAAAGCATGACCGATTTTTAGTAGCTTCCTTCCTTGATCAAGATTTCCAACATTAGCTTCAAAAACTCCCCATACATGCCATGCAAATCTGTTCTTTGGACTAGCTTGGACAGCTTTCTGATTCAGGAGAAGAAAGCTAGCATCACACATTCTGGTAGCAGATTTTGTGATTTGTGTAAAACTACAATAAAAAAGAAAGATATGCATCTCAAAAACTCTATGAATCAACAAGTCTACAAACTCGGTCTCCTTGTGTTTTCTCCTTGTAAATAAACTATTGTTTTCATTTACATTTCTATAAATTGTTCAACATTACTCATTATTACCAACTATAGTATTTTATGAAGTTTCTACAAGGAACGATAGTTAGTTTGGGATACATATATAATGGTTCAACATTGATCGCTTGTAGAGGATCTTACCTCAAAAAGCTGTCTGGCAGTGCGATAATTTTCCTGCTGTACCTCAAGCTGAGCCCATGCCTGCATTCGTGAAATCCAAGGCATTTCTAATGCAACAGTATTAAAAGTAAAAAAATTGATACTATATTATTTTGATTTGCTGTATAATATGCTGGTTTTAGATTAGTCCCAATGCACTGGAACAACAGAAGATGGAAGATTATTTGAATTTGCATGAATCAGTTCTTTGAATTTAGTTGAACTAATTTTTCCATCTACACTAAAAAATCACAATGCCAACTGACTGATTATCAAAGTAAACCCCCCAAGTAATCCCCAAGGATCCCACCTAGCACAATTACAGGTGTTGTTTGCTATAAGGCATGCTGAAGTCTAAAGTGTAATTTCATTTCTCATTGATAAGAGGTCGTGTTCAAGTCCAAAAAAGAACCAACAAGACTGTTTTCTTAAACTGGTAAAGGTCTGAATATGTATAATTGTCTATTTTACCTCTCAGAATACTTTGAAAAGAGTAGTTGCTAAGAAAAGGATGCAAACCAAAATGTCTTTGGCCTAGCAGTATCCGAGCCCTTCGCCTCTCTGGAGGTCAGGGTTCAAAACTCACCAAAGGAGAGAAAGGTATGTGAGTTTATTTGATACATTTTCCGTATATAAATGTTTATATACCTAAAAAATGATGTAAAGATGCTTAACTCCTAGATAGCCTATTGAGCGGCTCTAGCTGGCGATATTTAGGATACAGAAGCTAGTTATCTGGAAAGAGAGACAACTTACAAGCCAACTTGCGCAGCTTTTGGGATTACATTTAGTAGCCTGCCTGAACAAGTATCGAGCTTGTTCATTTCGGTCTGCCTTAGCTTCAAGCATTGCAAGTGTTTGGTATATGTACTCATTTCCACCACAATTTTTGAGTCATTTACTAAGAAGATACCTAGCTTTTTTTACATTTCCAACTTTGAGCTCCAGAATTGCCCATCCATGCCAGGCTGCAATGTGTTTCTTATCAGCAACTGTTGCAGCATCAAATAGTTGCCTAGCCCTCCTTATATTTCCCATTCTGTTTTCCAGAACAGCCCAGCACTGCTTTCAGATAAAAAAAAATACATGTAAAAGGTTACATATATGAGATSCAGATCAGTGCAATAAACTAAATAGTAAACCTACTTAGAGGATGAACTTTTTGCAAATGCTTGACTAAAAGTTCCTTCAACAGAAAGACTCGGAAAACCACATCTGATAGGATGAAAACCCTTCTTAATGGGGCAATATCCACAGTGAACAAATAGCAAGACTAACCTGCCAAATGTAGGCATTTTCACCTTGTGTTGCCTGACAACCTTTCTCATACACTGCCCTTGCTTCATTTGCTTTTGATTGCTTACCCAATATCTTTCCTAGGGCCACATAAGACCTTCCATCCTCAGGCCAATAAGATATGCACTTCACAATAAAATGGCAATAGATCAAGAGCAATTACAATAGCATTTTATCTCATGTTTAACGTTGGTGAAAAAACCATTCACGAGTGAAGATAAGTGGTAACAAATAAAATACAAACATTGTTAGCATATACTCATCAAACAATATAATTAAACACTCTTATTTGAGAACACTATTTACTGATTAAAATGTTCTTCGTGGGATATGCCTGGACCAATCAACAAACAGGTTTGCATTCAATACAATTGTGAAAAACTTTCTTAAAAGTTCATCGAAGTGGAAATAAATTAATGCACCTACTAACGACATCCATAATCCGTTGATACTCGGATCATGTCGATGTAACAGAATAACGATTATGAGAATATTATACCTTTTGAAGCGTCTCCTCTGCTTCCTTATATCGAAAGTTCCTCGCCAACACTTTAGCTCTATACAACGCCAAATCCAAATTAACACCAAGAGGTTGCTCGCCTGAACTCGAAGAACCAACCCTCATCGGCTCAAAAATCGGCATCTTTTTTGCAAACTTAGATAACTCGGTATCAATCACCGAGGATGACGACGAAGTAGAAAACGAACTTTCTTCCACTTCCACACCGTCTTCTTCTCCATACTCACCATCGTCGGTAGACTCCATCACGGGACGCCGAACGACCAGCAACTCATCTAATGTCCGTTTCTCCGTTTCGCTGCTTTCAGTATCACCGAATTCGACAGGAATTACATCTTGGCGAAGTACCGGTGGTGCCGGATACGACGTGGCGGAGGAGGAAGAAGAGTCGGGAGGTGGTAGAGTAGAAAACTGAAGGTGCGAATGTGAAAATGAGAGTTTGATGAGGGTAGTAAAGTGTAATTTTGAGGTGCCATTGGAAGGAGAAAACAGAGGAAAGTGTTGTTGTGAGGAAGATAGCTTCATCTCTCTCACACAGACCACCAATGTGTTGGCGGGATTTTGAGGTGGGTGAAGTAAGAAAGTACTAGTTTACCCTTCACAGCATTTTCAAAAATGTTGTTTGATGAGGGTGTTTTTGTAACTTGGAATACAGAAAGCCACTGGTTAAAGACAAGCCACGTCGCAGAGGTAAATGAGGTGGATGAGGTTTATGGACAATAGATTTTCTTTACTCGTGGATGATTTTGATTGGCTATAAAGTATCAGATAAGTTGATCACTTTTATTTTTAGTTTTTTTTTCAAGTGAAAAGTGCTGTTTGTATTTGAATCATAAAATATATAATATGGGAATATTCAAACCCAGCGCTAGCTGTATAAAAAATAAGAAAAAAATAAAAAGATCAATTTAGGTAGAAAATCATATATATATATATATGATTCATACATATATATATATACATATATATATATATATATAAGATCATACAATTTTAAAAACCGTTTACTTCCATTTTTTAGGGCTGTCGAAATATCCAAACCGCAGTTGACTTGAATTATACATTGTGTTGTCATTTATCGGTTCAACTTGATTTCAAACGTTCATATTTGATCTTGATTGTCAAGTATCGGTTGGCTTGAATCACCCTCGACCTCAACCCTAGACCTGTTTTTTCGGTGTACCGCTTTAAAGTTGAATTTCCTTTTGATGTAAGAAGAACTTGGCATATTTTACATTGCGCCTTTTTTTCAGTTCATGAGGATCATCATGTTGTATGCATTCCAAATTTTGGACTTCTGGGTGTGCTCGATGAGAACTTTAGCAATTTGTTTGTTTGATGCATCAAGTTGTTTACCGGACATTTTGGAAGATAGAGAGAGCAAGAAATGAGAATTGAGAAGTAGAAGTGTGAATATTTTTTGCGATAAACGAGTACGAGCCGAAATCACAAAATATAGTAAGAATTGTGAATGTTCTTTTTTGCATTTTTTTTTTGCTTTTTGTAACTTGGTATCTTACCCCATACATCATAAAACTTATATATGGTGTTTAGGGGGCAAAATGACCAAAAAAAAAGGGTCAAAATTAAATATAAAAAACGGCTATATAATGGTTAGAATTGTTGAAATTTTCGGGTCAGGTCGGACCGGTCCTGTAACCGGTCCCTCACATCCGTTCAAAATAGCAACAGCTCCCGAACCGCGGTTCCATAACCGGTCCAGGTCTTTTGCCGGTCCTGATTCCGGTCCTTTGGTGGTCTCCGGCCGGACCAGGTAGAAACGTCAATCTCTAATCCGAGTTAACCCAATACATAATTAATATAAAATTAGGTCAAACAACATCTATTGGTTGAAATTGGGTTAAGATAATTTGGACTCAACCAAACCCAGCCCAATGTCTTTCTATACTACGGATTTAATACGAGTGTTAAGTTCTTGATTAATATATGTACATTAGACGTTAGACTAACCTCTAATTAGCTATATTCAAATTATATTACAATTTCAACTGTAATTTTATTTTTTTATTTGCATGAACTTTCTATTTATTTATTTTTTTGAATTTGTTATTTTTTGTATGTTCTCATTTTGATTTGTTTCGTTTAAGCAAAATGCTTAGCTAGATTGTAAAATAATGTATCAAAGTTTCAACCAGACATGACCAACCCGAACTGCACGGTTTAGGTTGGGTTGGTTGTAGTTTTGTTCGGGTTGGGTTGGGTTGATATTTTTCTAACCTCAAACATTGGATTGAGTTATACTTCAATAAAAAAACACATTAGATTGAATTGTTTAAATGTCTTCAACTCGACCAACCCAACCCATGTGTAACCCTAGTTTCAGGGACAAACGGATTTTTTTCATACGTTTGCACCGTCTAAAACAATAAGATTGCACCTTTCGTAAACCTAATTTTTTTGACTTATGATAAACACCGTAGCCACTTAACTGAGTCCGTCCCTCCGTAGTTTGGCCTCTTCCACAAACAACTTTCATATTTCATTAGTTAAATACCCTCATATGCCATTCACACAAGCAATTGGTCATTATATCTCTTATGACGTGGCATTTAAAAAAACTCATATCATCCACTCCCCTCATTTCCCAATTCACGTGGCTTCCCTTTTTATCCCCTTCCAATTCTCAATATACACCATAATACATGGTACAAGAACCACCTTTGCCAATATAATTATCTTCGTAGAAGCCATTAGTAGCGAACTTGGGCTCTTTCTAGCTGTAATCTGTAACGGAGTTGAGTCGTCTTATCTATATAATATTATAAAGTATTTGACAAAAACTCTTAAAAACTATTTTTTATGCATGAAGTATTGTATATTGATGCATATTACTTAAAATTCAAGATTACAAGTAAATTATGCATAAGTACAACTTATTAAAGCTTCATGTTTGAATTCGTGTAACTAACTGCGAATAAACATAATCAAATAGAGGATAAACATCTTATCTTAAAATATAAAAAATCTAAAATATAATTAAGATAATTTTCGAGTTATAACAAAATAATTAATTATTATTTTTATTAAAAAATTATATTATTAAACCAAATACAAAGTTACTTTGTTATTGAAACCTAAATTAAATTATAATAATAAAAAATTGAATTAAAAAATTACACAAAAAATAGGAATTTTAAATAGTTAATTTGATATTAATATCGATATATTTTTGTCAAAATTTTATGATATCTTCATATTTATATTTTATTCAAAAGTAAAAACATATCATTTTTTAAAAATCATATAAGACCATAATATAACATGACCGAGATAAAAAATAAAATAAAATATTAAAATCAAGATATATCTCGTTGCGTTGCACGAGTACCCTTCTAATCATGTCTTATCTCTCGAGTCCTTAAACTTTTCAAAATCCATCGGCTTTTTTATACCCAAATTCGAGCCCATCATTATGTGTGTGTTCCTCCACTTCCAGCAAGCTTCATAGAAAAACAGCGTTAAACCAATATGAGAATTTTCATTCGTTGATTTGATGCATTCTATTGTGGGTGCATATATATGTTGGTTGGTTGGTTGGTTGGGGTTCCTCAAAGTCATGAAAGGTCATTTGAATTAAATACTCTTCACCTTTCTGAAAGGCTATTTAAAATCGCATCACAATTAAATTATTTGTTTATTTATTATAATTGATTTATAAAAGATAAATTACATAAAAAAAAGTAACATACTTTAATTTGATTTTTATCTTAGGTAACATACTTTTAAAACTTTCATTTTGGTATCTAAGATGTAAAGTTTTAAACATTTAAGTATCTGGGTAACCAGTTAAAATATTAACCGGTTACCATGTTGATATGGCGAATGATGTGGTAGGGAGATCTTGTAATATCCATGTTTTTTTTTTATTTGGGAAAAAACGTGATAATTTAGAGAGTATTTGGAAGATTTTTGTGAATAGAAAAAAAAATCATAAGAAAATATCAGATATGTCAAACTCATAAAAGTAATTTTATACAAGGCTCCAGTTTGTTAAGTATTCCAAAAAAAAGGATTAAATGAAACATTATGAAATTTTAATTTCAAATAAATTTATAATTTTAGTAATAGCGGATTTTGAATTTATAATATGATAAGACGATATTGATTGTGGTTCTTACAAAAATTGGATCACACTCCCAGTCTCATATATACTGTAAATTATTTACTGGGGTATAAAAAAACATCTTCGTCGTATTAATTTCATTATTCATGTTATCAGAGAGTAAGAACTAGAGACACTAAAATGGAAAAGAATAAAACATCAATTTAAGATACAACCTTTAATTATGTTGGATCATTGTTTTTTAACCTTGGTTAAAAGCATTACATGTTTTAGGAGTATTTAGTATTAAAAAAAGGTCTGGGTTAAGGCCATAAGGCCATTTAATCATTAGAAAATAAAGAAAGGAATTATCGTGCATAAAAGCGTGCAAAGGTTCAATTTTATTGCTCGTTGTTATGTTAAATCCACAATTACTTGTTGTTAGAGTTAGATATGGATATTGGAGCATTTCTATTCAAAAAGAATAAATAAAATTGAGGATTCATGAGGTTTTCATGGATGCAACATAAGTTATATTAGAGGTACAACCTATGTGTGTCAATGGTGAGACTAGATGCGAGTTCAATGAGCTCGGATTCCGAATCCTGGATAACTGTGTTAAGTTATGGGACTCACACATGAGCTTGCCTGATCTTAGTGAGACTAGACATGACATCAAAGGGTCTGTGCCCAAGGTCACGTGCAAGTTTGTTGTTTTAAGCAGTTTCATTATTTGGTCAATAGGAGCATATGAGTATTGTTAATTAATAAAAAAGAGTATTTTGTGGGTATATTATGTCATGTACTCATTCATCTCAAATTGCATGCAAGGTTCATGCGATTTATACGAGATGTATATCTGTACAAAATGTTATTTTAGCATGGAGTTTTATATGTTATGTCAGGGGCGGATCCCTATAGGGGCCTTTGGGGGCCATGGCCCCCCCGCTTTTATACATAAATACTATAACGAAGGTATTAAAAACATATACATTAAGTAGCTTAGTTGGCAATGTTGCTCAACATGCATACTTGAGGTTGCTGTTTCAAATCTCATCCCAAGCAATTTTTTTGAACTTTATATAAATTATTAATATTTAATTATATATATTAGTTTTATATAATATATTAATTATATGTAAATATAAGTTTTTAAAGTAAATTACACCGGTATTACTATTTCTCGATTAATACTTTGAATGTTTCGAGTTTTAATATTACATTAATCAATCTTTTTCTAAAATTTAATAGTCTAAAAACAGATCATTTAGATTTACAAATTTTTACAATAATATAGCATCTGCAACATATTCTTCAAAAAATTTCCAAAATAGATAATTAAAACTCTATTAAAACCAGGCTCGAGCTCCCCGCCCCAGCCAATCTCCCACTAGCAGGAAAGTCGTTTCGATCCAATCCATTCTTGGGATCAAATAAAGACAAAAAATGATATGTCAGTGACCTATAAACCATTAATATCAAGGATTTTTAACGGTGTGAATATGATAAAAAAATATGCCTAAAATCTCCATTTTCTCAATTTTGAAAAATCTATTGAAGATGCTCTTATATTTCGGCCCCCCGGACTACAACGGTTGTGTTCCGCCCCTGTGTTATGTGATATCAATAAATGGACAGTATGGTTTATCATCATAATCAGATGGCATATATTGAGTTTGTTTTGTTTAAAAAAATCTGGCAACAACGGAGATGTTATTAAATCGTTTGTTTAAGAAGATAGAGAATACTACACATCTTGATCCACATCCATCTTTAATCATAGGTACACATCACTTTCACGAACCACACCCTCTTGTTAACGAGRCACACCTACTTAGTCTTGCAACAATGGATCTCTTAAAGCAGTTTGCTTACCCATCAATATCAGGTTACAGTAAGTTCACAATATCAATAAGAGTGAGAAAGTCATACGGTGAAGAGATCACATTTACGATAGGTAATGCAATCCCCTTGACAAGGGATGATGGTAATTTCATACCAATTAATGTGGTATATTCTCATATATATGAAACAATTCTGAGATATGCTGAGGTCTACGACGGATTATCTACCCCCCAGGGGGCTGAGCTTTACCTATCGCCTATCGCCAGGATATTGAACTTCTTTCGGGCTTGCTGTTGTTTCTCTATCTGAGATATAATATATATTCCACCCCCCCTGACCCCCCCCCCCCCCCCCCGGGTGGCAAAAACTTGCTTGTTGTTGTTTATCGCCAGGAAGAAGTTCAATCCACGGGTAAGAACTTCTCCCAGGCTTGTTGTTGTCTATCAGCTACTAACACAAGGACCAGAAAGGCAACAATACACTAGGGAGATTCGTGCTCCTCCCCGAGAAGCACTCTCTGTTATGTTCTCTCTCTCTCTCTCTCTCCCCCTTTAGAATTCCTGCCCTAGAAGATCGCATTTCTGACTTGAGCACCGTCTTTAGGCATTTCAGTTCTCAGGATCTTACGAAGAAAGGCTAAAGATCGTACTGAACACAACCCTATGATATGAGTGAAGGCGAGCCAGGAAAGCACCCTGAACTYATAGGGTGAAGGCGAGGAAGCTTGAATTTTTTTTTGCAGGGGCTCCTAAACAAGAGTTTTGACTAGGTAGATTTGCCCTTCTAGTTGACTTCTTTCTGTGGGATACCCTAGTTAGAGCAGYGAAACCTTTAAGGCAAGAGATGCGGGCAAGTCAGTCGCTAGAACTCCCAGATGCTAATAACTCGCTAGAAGGGGTAGAAAGCCTGTTCTTTTGGTACAAATCCTCTTTAAATCATCATAATTGGATGGTTATATCGATATTGTATATTCCGGTTGTCTAATTTATTCTCTTTAGAAGAAAAATAACTGCAAAGTGAAAATTTTGGTTTTTTGCTACTTAGAAAATATCCACATCAACCTCTCGATGAAGTCGCTTGTTTCCTTTACAAAAAAATTAATTGTAAAAAGATGCTCTGTATTATTAAGTATATATATGCCTCTGTCTTTTCTACATCATAAATGATTTAATTAAACACATCCTCATAGAAATACCTTAAAGATCGTGAGTTCCAATCATATATTTTATCATATTTCTCAATATAATATATTTTTTAACATAAAATATTCATTCACCACTCTCCATCAACATTAAACAATCGTCAATTATTAGATAAACACAATATATTATAAGAAAATTAACCAAACTCTTGTCATTTCTTATGTTAAGAGATTCTAAATCCTCATAAAAGCATCTTGAGTGCCTAATTAAACACAATCTTCAATCTTATCTCCAAACCCAAAACCTAAAACACCATGCCAAATCCCATCTTTTTTGCCTCACTCTCCATCCCACTTTTTGTGATTCCTCTTCTTTATTGGGCATACACTTACCCCAAGAATAAGTACAAGCAAACCAATCTTGTGCTCTATGTCCATGACAACCTCACCGGTGACGATGCGTCCGCAATGACAGTGGCCGGAAAAGACGGTCCAACCACTAGCATCATGCATTTCGGGACCCTTTTAGCACATGATGATCCAGTGACCACAACCCCTGATCCCGAGTCTAAACATGTGGCAAGGGCCCAAGGTATGTACATCAATAGCCAACTGGATGGAAAAGCATTGTACATGATATTTTCTATCATGTTCACTGATGGAGAGTATAAGGGGAGCACATTGGAGATTCAGGGAGCTGATCCTTTCGTGCTAAAGGAGAGGGAGTTTTCAGTTGTCTCAGGAACGGGTTACTTTCGGTTTGTGAAAGGGTACGGGATCATGACTACCGAGTTTCTTGATATTCCAAACTTGAGAGCTATTATCAAGCTTAATATAACAGTAAGGCATTTTTGAAATATTACATTTTGAACTTTGTGTTTTTATTTCACTTGAAAGTCTTATGACAATTAATAATTTAATATCATTTTATGTTTTATTTGGACTGGACCAAGCTTATGTAAGTAGACATGGCCAAAACCGGTCCATGTCCAAGATTTTCCCTTTTGTAACCTATCCCATGATAACCGGTTCCGATCCCGAACAAAAACCACAATCCGCTCTCCAAGTCCAGTCCCTAGAACCAGTCTTGGGCCAGGCCCTTTTTTCCCTAGAAATCAATTTTAAACACATAAAATTGTTTGAGATTTTCTTTTTATTGGATAGTATCTAATTGAAATAAACTTTAAAATATCTAATCGGTCAACCAAATACACTTTAAATATATTTTTTTTAGATATTTTCTACACAACAATGTTATACATGTTTTTATAATTATGATTTTAGATATTTTCTACACAACCATTTTGACCATTTTTAATTGTAAGGCTCACCAATAGCAAATTTGGTCTTTAACTATTAGTGTATTACTTTAGTAGGCTTTTTGGCCCATTATATTGAGCCTGTATGTGTTTCTAGACCTTATAAAGCCCATTTTCTCGCAATTTAAATGATTTACTGATGCTAGAATGGTACTCTCACAATACAACAAGATGTATTTTTATTTTAATGTTTTGTTTTGTTTTTTGTTTCTTTTGATATAATAGGATTTATGTGGTTTTGAGAAAGATAATGTTTTTTCGATTTAGTGAAACAATTTATTTTTGGTTTAACAATTAAATTTATAAAGATAATGATTTTGTTATAACTCAATTATTATCCTAATTATATTAGATATTTTATATTTAGAATGAGATATTTATTATGTATTTGATTATATTTATTTGCAGTTAGTTATACAAATTCAAAAAATGAGCTTTAATAAGTTATATTTACACATAATTTACTTATAATCTTAAATTTTAAGTAGTATGCATTAGTACACAGTACTTCATACATAAATAATGGTTTTAAGAATTTTGATCAAATACTTTATAATATAGTATAGACATATAGTTTAAAATAATAATTAATTAAATAAAAGTATTAAAATATTATTCTTTAATTTTGTGTAGGAAAGTCTTACGGTGTTTGTTTTGACACGTAGATATAAGTAACACCTTGAGATCAAGAAAGTTACTTGTGTGAATTATTTTATAACAGTTGTAAATTGATTATTGTATTTATTAAAATACATATAAAACAAGAGAATGATTTAAAAAATCTAAAAACTTTTCATTTTAAATAATTAAGAAAATCATTGAAATTTCTAGTTTTGAATGATTAAGTCTTTAAACATTTTTTTTATATAAATAAACAATTGAATTTTAAAAAATTGGTTACATTTAACCAACTAGGGATGTTTTAAAGTAAAAAAGAAACGCTTAATCAATTTTATCGTTCCAAACTTACGTCATCTAAACCTTCGCACACAACGACATCGCTCTTTCTCGCTACTTTTCTTGGCTCCATCGTTGTCCGTTCACTATACGACCCATCACCATCGTTGATCCATGCCATCAATCTCTCTTTTATTATATGTTTTTTTCTCGATTCTCCTTCTTTTACAACAATCTTACAGAGCACTTATAGACATATATAAATAAGATGGAGAATCTAAAAATTAAAAAAAAAAAACAATCAAAGAGAGAGATCGATGGCAGAGCCAATGGTGGTGAGGGATGGTGATAGGAGCGGACGACAATGAGGCGACGAGGGGTTTGGACGACGTAGGGTTTGGGAACAGTAAAATTGATTTAGGTTTTTTTATTTTAAAACCTTCCTAACAAGTTTCAGATAGCTTTTTTGAATTAAAATGATGTAAATAATTAATTTTTAAGAGTTCGATGGTTTATTTATTAAAAAAAAGTTTACTGTCTTAATTATTCAAAATAATAAAGTTTAATAGTTTTTCATTTAAAATTAAAAAGTTGAATAATTTTTTTTTTCATTTTTCCCTTAAAATAAATGATTTAAACAATAACTTCCTTATGCACACCAAATAAATTGTTATCTGAACAATATAAACGGATGGATTGATGATTTTATTCTATAACTGCTATTAATTATATATTTGTATAAAAATATAATCAATCAAATGTTTGCAGTTTTATATTAAAATATTTCTAATAAATTTTCTAAAATAGAGATTTTAGATATATTTTTTCTCCCATAAATTCTCAAAAAACAAAGAAAGCATGACAAAAAAAGAATTTCTTTAAATACGATTTTTTTCTAAAAATGATTATTCACGAGTGAAAAATAATATTTTATTTTTTTTACCAACAAAAATCTTTGAAATTAAATGTCTAATAGAAAAAAACAATATTATATTGAATAAATTGATATTTTAAATAATATAATTGATATTATGTTTTGTAAAATAAAAAATCTATTAAAAATAAATATAATATTTTTTTTAAAGATTTTAATGTTTTGACTCTAGTCCAAACTGGAGGGTGGCATTCTTCAGTGTGGCACACAAATAAAATAACATTACTCTGATTTAGTTTGTTACTTTAAATAAGAACCGTTTTGTCAATAATAACTGAGTAAATATTTATCGGGTAAAAATCATCATTCTTATATTTTGTATAAGTGTTAATCAGATAAAAGTCATCACCACCTTTTATTATTTGTCAGGTAAGATTCTTTATCTTTGGCATGGTTAATCAGTAAGGTAAGTAAAAGCCTGTAAACACTTTCTCAATTAACTTCGGTAAACAGCCCCTAAGTTACCAACATATATTCTATTGCAAAACAAACATAAACTTCTACTTTGAAGGATTATTTTTATTAATAAAAAGCTGGTTGTTGCAACACGTTGGAAAGAAAATCAACGCCCGATTTGTTATGAAAATAGTAAACCTTTATTTATCAGCGGTTAATAAATGGCTCCGCCAATCAATTTGCACTATTCTTTTATCATCTTACTATTGATCGGTAACTTAACATTTGTTCTATGAAATTCATCAATGAATAAATTTATCACAAATGGTAAATTTATTGGTCAATAATTGAATTTTTATTGTTGAGATAATATTAGGTTTATATTTGTCGTTTTATGGGCAACCATTCAACAATGGTCGATTATCTCCCCTTACAAAATTAATTGACTTGGGTTTTGAATATTAAATATATTATTAAATTGTCCAATTATAAGAAAAAATAATATAATTGACCAAAAATAATAAATAACCATTCTAAACATGAATGTGATGTTATACTTGTTTTTTTCCTACTTAAAACATAATAAAAACAAAATATAAACACAATAGAATAAAATAAAAGATATTTTATGTGTGGTTATGATATAAAGTTGGATTATGGGGATGTTTGAATTCTTATTCATTAAGTTTTGAATTTGTTAAGTTGATTTTAAATATTAATTTGTCTGGATAAATTAAGATAAATTATAAGGATACATGCGTAATATATCGAGATAATGTTTCATTTTATTTTTTTGTCTCTGTCGATATAATACGGTTTTATGTGGTTTTGAAAAAAACAATAATGTTTATATTCATAAAAATTTGAAAAAAAAAATTATCGATATTAGTATCAAATTAACTATTAAAAATTCTCGCTCTTTATGTAGTTCCTTTAATTCAAAATTTTTATTATAATTTAATTTAGGTTTAATAATGAAGTAATTTATTTTTTGTTTAATAACATAATTTTTATAAGGATAATAATTAAGTATTTTGTTATAAGCGTAACTCAATGATTATCCTAATTATATTTTAGATTTTTTATATTTTAAAAAAATTATGTTATTAAACAAAAAATAAATTAGGATAATTATAACATCGACTGAGATAAAGAATAAAATAAAATATTAAAATTACGATGTATCTCGCTGCATTGCGTGAGTACGCTTCTAGTATGAATTTAACAAGTCGATAGCATCATACTTAATAACTTAAAATATATTAATTTAGATTATTATTGTTTTGTTACAATTCTTAATTTATGCATATTAGTAAAATATACAAAAGAAAGTGGAATGTTTATTGCTTTATAAAATTATTTATCAAAATAAAGAATGATGGGTTTATAGAGTTTGGGTTTGATTTCTAACTTGGTTTGGGCTTGCATATTATAGAATTTAATAGTCAAAAGATAGCAATAGCATTAACACGTTGCATGTGTGCTATTTTAGAAAACTATATTTTTATTTTTAGAAAACAGAGACGGTCATGGCTTTACACGGCGGTTCGGTCGCTGGATAACCCGTGTAAGTTTCTGGAATCTCGAATGGTGGGAAAACCCATGTAATTCACTGTATGTCGATTTTTTCTGTTGCCTACTTCCTAAACCATATTGAATAATATTTAATGATAGTTTTATTGGTTATTAACTGTCAACAGTCAAATCCTACAAATATGTACTAATCCTATCACTTTTACCTACTTTTCTTTCATTCTTCCGTCCCTACTTTCTACAAAACATGATGTTCATGGAGATGCAAGAATTTGTTGCGTCCTCCATCTAAGATGAGGCAATCATGGGGTAAATTAGACTTAATTCAAGAGCAAAACAGTATGAGGCATTGATTAAAAAATGGAGGACAAGGGTAATTTTGGAAAAAGAAATTCAACTTAATGCATTAAAACTAAAATCAAACACCTTAATATAATTTAACCAATTAAACTAACCACCCATTAAACTTATTAAGTTGAAAACAAACACCCCATATGTTTCTTATACAAGTTGTTTGTCTTTGGTATATTTTTTTTGACTTTAATTCTTGTTAATTTTGACTAAAAGAATAGGGGGGTTCATTTTTTTATTCTTGTTAATAACATTAAACATTTTAAATCAGTGATTCAGGATAAAATTTGAAATTCTTAAATTATTAATCCTCTATATGTATTACTTATACACATACTAATTATTGACTAAGAGGCCGTTTATCAATTGCTTATCCGGTAAATGCTTACGAGGTCATTTACCATTATCGGATTACATGTTAATTACCCAAAATCTTATCCGATAAAAATAATAACAACGACCAAAAGTCTTACCCAAT